ATCATGCCTAGGATCTTGCTATTATTATGCTTTAATATTAACATGAACATGATTATGATTATAATTGTTATAATTCATGATGATTATGAATATTATTATTATTATTATTTTGATGATGATTATTTTATTTATGATGATATTATTATTCATGATATTGATTATTTATTATTGTGTTGCTTGATATATATTGTTATTGCTTGATTACCTTTTATATATGCATGTTTAAAGGGTATTCGTACTTGTAATCACGCTTAATAAGATAATTAATATTCTTGTTTAGGGTCAATTTTGATTATATTTCAAGTGATCGCCAATAGTAGTTTTATTTGTGCATTATATTCAACCAACATAGATAAACAGGTTTAGGGTTAATCCTATTGATTGCATGTTAATCAAAAAGCGCACATGAATACAATCAGAATAAAGTAGAGGCCTATTATTAGGGCAGATTCAATCTCTTTTAGGTTGGATTTGTACCTTCATCCTCGAACCCTTATTTGGTTCTAGACCTTATGGAGTTGACGGTCTCTTGGATTATTAAGGGGTGTAACCTTCATCCTATGAACGGTTTACAAGTTCCTAAAACTTGTTGGCGACTCTTTTGCTCTATCTTCTTCCCTTTTGGACGCCACCGTACTTTAGTGTATGATCACAGTGGGGTTCAAGCATGGGGTTAACGCTTGAAATTTATTCCCTACAGAGGAATTCGAGGATGACCAAAGAAGGTCCAAATGTTCAGAAAAGGCATCCCTGGTTCTAAACTCAGCCGTACCAGGAGACCCGTTGAATGACCTAGGCGGTGCCGTGTGTGTCGATGAAGTATCCATTTTTATTTTGGAAGGCTATGTACACAAACGAAAAAAGTATAAAAAGCTAGAAGAGGGTAGAGGCGGTTACCTTTTTCTTAACTCTGAAAACAGCTTCTGATGGTGACCAGATGTGTTCTTCAAAAACATATATGGAAGCTTCGAATACTCACTATAGGTGGGGGCAAAGTCTCTTTCTCTATAAATATCTCTTTCTTTCTCTAAGAAGTACAATGATTCAAGAAAGTAAGAGGAAAGGGGGGGTGGGTAAATCCCTATTTATAGAGGGGTAAAACGGGGGCCATCTCGGTCATATCCCATAAGGTGAACAGTCTTTTTACTGTTCACCACTCCCAGAAAGGTGTGTGTCACAAGCGCTACGTGGCATGCCACGTCACCCCTGTGAGGGGCAAATGTTTAGGGTAAAAATACCCTAAACACGTGGACAAATCAGAGAGGGAAACATGTCAAGCTTGGACATGTCCACCTGGGCCACTCATCAAGCCTCAGATATCTGCTGGAATTGCGGCTTTCAAGGCCCAATTCCCTAGAAAGCCTCAAAACGACGCAGCCCACCAAATCTAGGTTAGAATGACCTAAGAGAGGGCACAATTCCCAACGACCTTATAAATCGGGAGATATCCCCCATTTTTGGGACACATTCAATCATTTATTACACTACCCTACATTCTCTCACATAAGAGAAAACACTTGATCTCAGAATCCGAGAAGATCTCACTTCACTTTCGGCACCTTTTTACATTCTCCAACACGTTCTAACTTGATCGTCGGAGGCAGAGCTCCAACCATCCAGAGTCTTCGTCATTTTGCAAGTTCAGGCGTAGTTGGACAAGTCTTCGAGCTGTAACTCTCCCGAGCGACAAAATCACCCAAAACAATTTTAAATAAAAAACCATAATAAAAAAAATTACCCCACCCGGTCCTCCTTGACTCGTTCCTTGTCATCCTGTAAGCCCACTACCCTTCCTTTGTCAGCCACCACATCACCACCAGCCCCTCGCCCTTCTTCTTCACAACGCCACCCAACACCCTTTCATTTGGCTCTCCCCCTTTCCCACAACATCACTTAGCCTTCCTTTGTAGCACTACCTAGCTCCCTCCCCTTTCTTGTAGCTTTACTTGCCACTTCTCGATCTAAACCCTTGTTGCTCTGAAACATTGACCATTTGAGGCTCGTGGAGGGGAATGGTTGAGGTTTTCGGCGACGATATGGCTAGGGCAAGGATTTTAGGCGAGAATGGGGTGTATTGGCGACAGTGGGAGTATTTGCGGGGGTTTTCGACGACGGTGAGGTAGTTGATTGCGGGGGGATGTTAAGGTTGTGGTTTTTGGTGAGGTTTTTGATTGCGACGGTGAGGTTGTTGCTTGCGAGGGGTTTTCGGCGTTGGTGTGGTAGATGATTTGTGGGAGGTAGCTCCGATTGTGGTGGTGTTTGTTGACAGGTGGTGGACTGTTGAGATTTCTTATTTGTTTGAATAAACATAAAATCAGTTTAATTAATAAGAAAATTGTAAAAATATATAAAAAAACAATCTACCAATAACTATGTGACACATGTCACTCTTAACTTATTAAACCGGTTACATCCTATTTTTGAAAGATGCATGTCAAAGGTCGGTTTATTGCAGAATAATAAAAAAATTGTTTTATTTTTGGAAGATCATGCACATGTCATAATATTCTTGACAATTTTTCCTAAATCTAATTATCGGATCACTTCGATTAAACAACAAGATTAATAAAAATGGTCCAAATTATCTTATTAGACATGATTACTCAAAGTTGTACTACCTTTGATTTTTTTATTGTAACCAAAGTTATCAGAATTGGGATTCTACTTTGAATCGCTGAGTGAGGTAGAATCAAATCGGTAAAATCGAATCGTAGAATCATACGATTCTACCAAAATGTAAAATTGGGCTTTAAAATGTAACAAATGACTATATACATAATTTTATAGCAATGAGAATGATAATAATATATATTGTTAATAATATAATATTGACATACAAACATAAAATAGTTTTTCAATTAATTTCACACGCGCATAACTCAAACAATACACTATAAACTATAAAGTCGGATTATTGGTACACATTCTTAAGTCTTAACCATGAGAGTACACGACAACTGTTGTTAAATTATGAAAAAAATAACGTTGTTGACTCGTAAAGCTTTTTTCTCTAGACCCATGCATAATAAAAAAAAATCCAATAATGATAGAAAACTAAGTGTCAAGTTAGTTCACTTAACGAGATAGCTAAAGAATGACAACTAAAACAAACTAACAAACTCATGTTATAAAAGTGTTTTTTTATATGCCCAAAGTTGAGTGCATGAGACTCACGAATACCTTCTTATGCCCACAAATTTTAAATGGTTGGATAGAATCTTAAAAGTTATTTAAATTTATGTTTCATAAGCTTTATTATGATTTAGATTGAATAATATGTAAGTCATTGACTAAAGTTAGGTTCAACTACGACACCTTTACACTCTAGTATATAACATAAAATATATAAATGATATAGGTACGAAATCAATTCTATTATAAAGTAGGCTTCAAGAGCTTTCCAATGACATATTATAAGCCTAATTCCGACTTCGAAATCAAAAGTTATGGGTTTTGAAAAATCAGATTTTTTGCAAGAGTAGAATCGGTATAGAATCGTACAATCGGTACCGATTCCACCGATTCTAACCGATTCTACCGATTCTATGAGCAATTCTACAGCATAACGATTCTACCAGCGATTTACATCGTTTAGGTGGATTAGGATCGTAGAATCGTACGATTCTACGATCCGAATCGCGATTTTAATAACATTGGTTGTAACATTTGGGTATTATTTGTGGATATATATAAAATATTCCAAAGTTGCAATTAAAAAAAAATTGTCAAGAATAATCCCAACTTTACTCCGTCCGCCCAAAATGACTGCAACTTTCGATTATTTTTTAATAATCTCAAGTTTATATTCCACTCGCCCAAAACAATCCCAACCGGTCATATCAAACATGTGTCATCCTAAGATTGATTTTAAAAAAAAGCCACCTGCCTTTAACAATTAACCCAGCCAACCCCCACCCCATTATCACACACGTCCAACCCTCTGCCTCCTAGGTCTTAGCCGACCACCACCTTGACACCCTCCACCGGCAGCGGCATCGCCCTGACCACCTCCCCCATCTCCTTAAACCACCATTTTCCCACCCCAAAACCCCAAGAAACAACCTTAAAAGTTACTAAACCCCAGGTAAATTTAAATTTCAAACCTAAACCAATTAATTGAAAACAATGAACACCCTTTGATTGAAAATCAGCTAATGGAGTAAAATCAACAGAATTTAGCAAATACCCACAAAATTTAAACCAAAAAGAAAGCAACCAACTTAAAAAATTTAGCATAAAAGCAACGTAAGCAACAAATTTCGTGGGGTTTTGGGGGTGGGGGGATGGTGGTATAAGGGGAAGGGGAAGCTGACGGCTGGGAGAGGGGTGGGGGCGGCGCCAAAGACGAGTATTTGGATCCGGCGCCGTCAAGGGAAGGGGGAGGGGGTGGTGGTGCTAAGGAGGACGTGTTGTTTCTTTATTTTTAATTAACTAATTAACAATAATACTAATATTAATATTAATTTTTTTAAAAAAATAACCAATCATGTGGTGACACATGTATATTAAACCTAAAAAAATTACATGTTTAACAAGTCACCGGTCACTTAGGATTGTTTTGAGTGGATAATATATAAAATTCGGATTATTAAAAAATAATTAAAAGTTGGGATTCTTTTGGGCGGATGGAGTAAAGTTGGGATTATTATTTAATTTATGACAATTTTTCTTAAAAAAATGGGAGGTAGTATTATTTTGCCAAAGGTTTTGTTTGGTTCAATATTAGTAAAGGAAAAGAAGAGAAAGGATGGGAAGGGAAAAGAAAGGAAAAGAATGGAAAGGTAGGTGATTTTATTTTCTAATATTTGGTTGATGAAAGAAAATAAAGGAAAAAGAAAGGAAATTACTTTTATTTTTCTCTTTCAAGTCAAATTCCTCCAACTTTAGGAGGAAAGGAAAGCCAAAAGTTTATTAAGAGACTTTCCTCCCATTTCTCTTCCTTTCCTTTATATTTTTATAATCTCCAAAATATGATTAAAATAATTTCATTTCTTTTTTCTTTTCCATCCAAATTCCGTCAACTAAAAAGGCCCAAAAGAGTAGAAGTATCATTTTTGACACCAGAGTTCTTATTATCACACAACTCTCTCTCATTCTCTCTCTTCATTAATCAATTCATTGTCATGAACCTAAATTTTCCTCCCCAAACTACGCTGGTGGCCTAATTTTGTTACGATATTGGAAGTTTCCGGCAAGATCTTCGAGATTTGGGGATTTTTGTTCAGGTTACTTTTTATTTTTTAGGGGTTTTTCTTTTTACGATTCTAAATTAGGGTTTTCACGATTTTTTTTTTTTTTTTGCATAATGGGGGGGGGGGGGGTTGGGGGTTCTATTTATGCTCTTAAATGAGGGATTAAACATTTATGGGAACAAAATCAACTAGGGCTCATGCTACTGTATTTGTTGTCGAAACTTTATCATTAGTTGATTATATAAAGCTCATGTACAATTCTGAAATTCGTAGGTGCTGCAATTTGATTTGTAAATTCGTTCCCAATTAAAAACTTGTTAAATTCAGTGGCTTTTTTGATAATTTATGCTGTAATAAATCAATTAAGTCGAATGTGTAAGTATGACGTATGTTTGTTTGGATTTAAGGTTTGTTTATGTTGATAAAAATTGTATGTACTGTTTATTTGTTCTGACTATGTAGCGATGAAACTTTAAAATTGTACTTGTATAATGAATTCTGGTATCTGGTCAATGAATAATGTATAGTCTGTGATTTTAACTGTTATGAAAATCTCAGATACAATGGAATTTACCCTTTTTATTTTGTTATTCAGAGAAGATGATTAACTTATTCAGAGTGAAAGCAAAACAGAGGGAAAACGCTGAAAAGCTTAATGGAAAGACCCATGTCAAGAAGCAAACAGCTGGCGAACTACGTCTTCATAAAGGTATTCTTTCTTAAATAGCTGTAATTGGGATTCATATGGTAATATTTAATGGTGCGCCGTAATTGGGATTCATATGGTAATATTTAATGGTGCGCCGTAATTGGGATTCATATGGTAATATTTAATGGTGCTGTAGTCTGGTCTTGTGTAAGTTGTGTTCAAAGTTATCATTTGAAGAACTACCTCGTGTTGTGAGATCTTTCGTTGAATGGGATATTAACCAATCCATCATACCATTACAGTGTTTTCCCTATTTCAATTTCATTATCCGCGCATGATTTATATGGGGTTCCTCAATCTATTGTTCGATTACCCTAGACTCATGCATATATGAACATGTCATTAGTTTTATGTAAGAGACTGGGATGGAGATTTTGCTCTCTCTTTTTATGTGTGTGAGTGGATTGGATGGACCGGTGATATTCTTGCTCCTCTGTTGCTCTTTTCTGAGCAGATTTATTGTTGATTGTTTCTGTCATGATTTATTCTGGGCACTGGGCAGTGTTTGCAAGCTTCGCGCTTTCTTTCACAATTTTTTGCCAGTTTCTTGTTATAAACTGATCTTTCTGCATAATAAAAGAAACACATTATTCTTGTCAGAATAGTTTCATGTGGCAATCTATTAACATCTCATCTACTGCATCTAGTCCTGGACTACTTGTATCCACTAATTCTGCATTGTGTAGATTGAAGGTTTTTATTAGACTTATGATCAAACATTCAAACATATTATTATGCTTCACATTACTATTACCTCTTCTGTTTATAGATTTTAATGTTGACTTTTTCTAGATATCAGTGAACTGAACCTGCCCAAATCATGTACCATTTCGTTTCCCAGTGGTAAGGATGATCTGATGAATTTTGAAGTTACTATTCGGCCTGATGAGGGATATTATTTGTAAGCGTCTCTTCTACTAAATCATGCCAACACCTGACTATTGCATTTAGTGCTTAGTCTTGCAAGTCTTTGTACCTATGTCATTGATTACTTATTTCATTATTCTTGATTTTGTTTCTTTCCATTTTTTATTAAAATTATTCTTATCTCTTAGCCACCAATATTGCCTTTTATTCTTTTCACTTTTTTTCTTGTAGTTGGGATATGGAGAGGTTGGAGTTATCTATATGTTTCCTCCGCAGATTGAACGTATTATTTTGACTTTTACGTTTGCTTAAAAATCATTTTTAATATGAAATTTATAAAAGAAAAAAAAAAAGTCGATAGTATACATTGAAATCTTTCACACAACACTTCACACATTGATTTAAAATTTACTACATCAGAAAAAAGTATAATCAAAGCTAATAAACGGATAGTGTTAGAGGTCCAAATAATGCAGGTTTTGTGTTACAGAGGTAGTAAATGTACTAGTGTGGAGGAAAATTATATTAGTACATCTGTTTGGATCATTGAACGTCATTTTTAATTCATTTGGCTATACTTCATTTGCATTCCTTGTTTCTTTCTTCTTATCAACTCCCTCTACTCTCTTTGTGAGACACTCACCATTAAAATAGGAAGAACTTTAAGAGACAGAGGGAGTAGAATCGCTCATAGAATCGGTTAGAATTGCTGGAATCGGTACTGATTCTATGATTCTACACCGATTCTACTCCCGCAAAAAACCTGATTTTTCGAAACCCGTAACTTTTGATTCCGAAGTCGGAATTAGGCTTATAATATGTCATTGGAAAGCTCTTGAAGTCTACATTCTAATAGAATTGGTTTCATACTTATATCATTTATATATATTATGTTATAGACTAAGAGTGTAAGGGTGTCATAGTTGAACCTAACTTTAGTCAATGACTTACATATTATTCAATCTAAATCATAATAAAACTTATGAAACATTAATTTAAATAACTTTTAAGATTCTATACAACCATTTAATTTTTGTGGGCATAAGAATGTATTCATGAGTCTCATGCACTCAACTTTGGGCATATAAAAAACACTTTTATAACATGAGTTTGTTGTAGTTGTCATTTTTTAGCTATCTTGTTAAATGAACTAACTTGACACTTAGTTTTCTATCATTATTGGATTATTTTTTTTATTATGCATGGGTTCTAGGGAAAACAACTTAAGAGTCAACAACGTTATTTTTTTTTTCATAATTTAACAACAATAGTCGTGTACTGTCATGGTTAAGAATGTGTACCAATAATCCTACTTTATAGTTTATAGTGTATTGTTTGAGTTATGCGCGTGCAAAATTACTTGAAAAACTATTTATGTTTGTATGCCAATATTATGTTATTAACCATATTTATTATTATCATTCTCATTGCTATAAAATTATGTATGTAGTCATTTGTTACATTTTGAAGCCCAATTTTACATTTTGGTAGAATCGTATGATTTTACGATTCGATTTTACCGATTTGATTCTACCCCACTCACCGATTCGAAGTAGAATCCTGATTCTGATAACTTTGGAGTAGATGCATAGTGTATTGATATTCTAAGGAAACTTTTGATTGCAGAGGCGGCACATTTGTGTTTACCTTCCAAGTTCCATCTGTATATCCTTATGAGCCTCCCAAGGTGAAGTGCAAGACAAAGGTAAATTGAGTGATTCTCTATGGAAGACCTGTCTTATGCTACATAAGATGATAACTTATTTGTTAGTTATGTGCATTCTGAAAAAAAAAAACCTAACTTTTGTATGCATCTGTCAGGTATACCATCCCAACATCGACTTAGAAGGTAATGTCTGCCTCAACATTCTAAGAGAAGACTGGAAACCTGTTTTGAACGTAAACACTGTCATCTATGGGTTGTATCATCTCTTCACGGTACTAACATTTCCCTTTATCTGGAGATTTTTTTTTTCTTTTATTGCTACATGCATTGCATCATAATGGCATTTTATTTGTGTGTGCAGCAACCAAACTATGAAGACCCTTTAAATCATGATGCTGCTGCTGTGTTGAGGGATAATCCAAAAATGTTCGAATCCAATGTGAGAAGAGCTATAGCTGGGGGTTATGTGGGTCAAACTTTCTTTCCTAGGTGTGTTTCTTGATGGTTATGAGGCTGTAAACTGTAAACTTGGATGTGAAGGGTGCTGTTTGACTGTATATCTTTTTGTGAACTAGTTCTTCATTGACGTTTTTAAAATGTTTATGTTCTGTAAAAAAAAAAGTACTAGTTAAAGTATGCCTGGTTTTGTTTAATTTGTAACCTCATTGTTTATCATTAACACATTTATGACAAGGGCAAGTCTCATCATTGCATTTTGTGAAAATAATTCAGCTGCATAATTTCCCAGTAAAAACAAGGCTCTTCTGTTATTCATGATCATTTTTTCCAAGATTTTTGAAAGTAGAATAAACAGGCAAATTCACCCTAACTGAATAGCTGAATATTGTCAATTTGCTTAAATCCAGGTATAGGTAGAAATGTTAAAAGTATCTAAAGCCCTAAGCTCGTAACCGTAACCCTTTTGATCAGCGATGGGTAGAATTACAAACTAGTACTCTGTATATTAAAATTTGTTTATATTTCTGTTCATGAAGCAGCACAGGATAATGATCTACCATATAGAGCAAATATAGATTGATGAATTCCGCCCAAATTAAATGTCTTGAATATTGCGTTGAATCTTTGGTTTCCAGTGTTTCTTTGTCATTTGTGATTTCATCACTTTATGTTCTATTTTATATTGGGGCGGGAGTCTTCTCAAAATCGCAAAATCATCCATCTATAATCGTTCCCTCCGTCCTTTATTTACATGTCTATTTTTCTTATTTATATGCCTATTTTTAACATTTATTACTCACATAATAAAGATAAATAGACGTGTAAATAAGGGACGGAGAGAGTACGTTTTACAATAAAATTGGCTCATTAAATCTTATTTCTACCCAAAGAATATTAAAATTAGGACCAACTAAATTTCCAATAACTACATCCTATAGGTTTCTTTAACATACACTGAGATTTGCCATAATTTACACAAGTTCTAAATGCAGTATGAAATTAAATTTTTTTTTCAACTTTCTTTTATTCTTTGGTGAGTGAATGATTTTTTTTTATTATTATTTTAATTTTTTGGATTTTTTAGATTTTAACACCACAAAATAGTCATGAATTGGATTTTAACACTACCAAAAAAAAAAAAAAACCTTTTATTTTAACACCACAAAGTTTCTTAAAAAATGGCTTTTACCACCACTTAACTTGTTTATGTATGAAATCTGTTAGTAGGGTCCACATTGCTTACGTATCAGCATATTATTGGAAGAAAATAATAAAAAAAAAAACAAAACCCCTAAACTAACCCAGCCACCCATCCCCACCGTGGGCTGGGCGGCTCCGGCCACGGCCCCACCCAAACACCCCAGTTCCCAGCCACAATCACCGGAATCTTCGCCCCTCCTTTCCGATCCCCCCTCACTAAAATCGATAACCTAACCCCAACGACCACCAAAAATGGGTGGTCGTTTTTCAAACTACCCAATACCGCCAACCAAAACTGGGTTCTAAGGGTCGAAAACGACCAGTTTATGGTCGAGATCGACCACTTAGGCCCTAAACTGGTCGTTTTCGACCTTTAGTGGCTGTTAATGGTGGTCGATTTTGGGTTGTTTGAAAAACGGCCGCCCATTTTAAGCGGCTGTTAGGAGGTTTCATCGGTTTTGAGGAGGGGGAAAGGGAGGGGATAGAATGAGCAGCGGCTGGAGCTGGGAACTAGAGTGTTTGGGTGGGGTAACGGCCGGCGCCGCCGTGCTGGCGGTGGGGATGGGGTTGGTTGGGATTTGTTTTTTTTTTTTAAATTTTTTTTTTCTAAACTAAGAATATGATGACACGTGGCATAATGGACCCCACTTAACGGATTTTTGGACATCAATCGTTAATGGTGGTAAAATCAAATTTTATAAAAAAATTTGTGGTGTTATAATAAAAGTTTTTTTTTTATTATTTTTTTTAGTGTTAAAATCATTTTTTTTTGGTTTTTTTTTGTGGTGTTAAAATCTAAAAATTCCTAATTTTTGTTAATTATCTACATTCCACATAAAGAAAAATGGCCATTTTAGTTTTCACAAGGGATAGATATGAGGGAGCTTCAATTCATCTCCTTGAGAAATAGAATTCAATTCGTTTATTAAGGGGTAAAATCGTAATATTTCAAGCATAACAACTCTCTCAATTAGTAAAAATGAATTTATTTACAGCTTCGATCGACATTTGGTAATAATAGTCTCTGGGATTTGTTAAACATCGCCCACAAATTACTACATAAAGCCCACAAAATTCACTTGGTTTCCCAAAATTGCCCTTGACCTTAAAAAAAAAACACTCACACTCTCATCACTCACACTCTCATTGCTCATCTTCTTTCAACCTCTCTAAAAAAAAAAATCAAAATAACGGCAATGTCGAGGCGGCAAGGCAAGGAAGTGGCGGCGGCGGCGGAGGGAAGGATGTCCCAAGGTGGAAAGGTATATTTTATTTAAAAAAAAAAAAAAGGGGAAAACCGCCGTGAACGCGGTGGGGCGCCCTGGCTGGACGCCCAGCCGGCGGTGGTGGCGCCAGATGCAGACGCCGCCACCAATTGGCTGGCGCCTGGGCTGGACGCCACCGCCACGGTTGTGGCGTTTAGTCTAAGCGCCGCAGCCGTAGCAGTGGCGTCCAGCCCAAACGCCAGCCAACTGGTGGCGGCGTCTGCATCTGGCGCCACCACCGCCGGCTGGGCGTCCAGCCAGGGCGCCCCCCATTTTTTTTTTATTTTTTTTTTATTTTTTTAAAAAATTGTTTTTAATTTTTTTTTTTTTTTTTTTTTTTTTTTTTTTTGTAATATAATTTTGAATTGTTTTTATATTTTGTTGTTTATTTTTATAAATTTTTTCAATTTCGTTGTATTTTTTCTACGTTTATATTTTGTTTACTATTATTTGTTTGTTTTTAGTGTATTTGATTTGCGATGATGATTATTTATCGTATAAATTTTTGTATGTTTATATATTTTAAAATTTTGTGTAGGGTCGTCATGGTGGGGGGAAGAATATAGAGCTTCTTAGTAGAAGTTATTCAGTGGAGAGGTCGGGGCATAGACATGTCAGATCCCGTGGTATTTCGGTCTCAGTTCGTAGAGAACGGATCCACCGTCGGGATGAGGATGACGATGACGATGATGATGCTGAGGAGGGTGACCAGGAGGAGGAGCAGGAGGAGGGCGCAGATGAGGATGAGGATGTGGACGATGGCAGTGGACCGTATGATGATTACGGTCCATTCAGTCAGAGGGTTGATGACATGTACGAGACGCATATGGTGGAGGTGCGTAAGGGTAGGGGTGGTAGGTTTGTTAGTAGATCTGGCACATCATCTGCGTCCACTGTCTCTGGGGCAAGCAGGAAACGGTCGAGGGCGGGTAATGATTCTTGGGTTGTTAGGAGTGAGGTGCCCGGTGGGCCTGTTGACGGGAGTGTGATTCCTAGCTTTCTAGGACACATAACTGCCCGTATTTGGGAGGACCAGGAGAGGCCTTCAGTTACGGGGTTGTTGAAATGTCATACCCGGAAAAAGACTTGTAGTTTTTTGCGTACATGGGCTGAGGCCTGGCCGGCGGAGAGCGAGATGTTCGAGCGACTGGAGGGCACTGGGGTGAAGCACGTTCCTGCCACCATGCACGATAAGATTGACAGTACGCTGATCACGGCTTTCATTGAGCGATGGCAGCCGGATACAAACTCTTTTCACCTTCCGTTCGGTGAGATGACGATCATGTTACATGACGTCGAGGCCATTCTGGGGATTCGTGTTGAGGGTAAACGACTTTGTGCTGTGGCTGATGCGGATCAGGCAGATTCGCTGGCGGAGTTGTTGGCGGTGGACAGGGCTGCACTGTACACCGAGGCGCTAGGTGTTTGGGAACACGGAGGTGTGAAGATCGCATCTGTGTTGCAGCGGTGTTTGTACCCGAGTGCACGTAGGACGCCCGACGCACAGCTGAGTGCTTATGTTTTTCTACTCCTCGGATGTACCTTGATTAGGGGATTTTTATCCACCAATCACCGTCTGACAAGTGGACCAACCAGGTTCCGCCACGTGTCCTTCACGAAGGCCAATAGGAGCCTGCCACGTGTCAATCACAGATACGTCCTCTACGGACCAATTGAGACACGCCACGTGTCCACCCATGCCAAATGGGAAAACCGGCCAACAAGGCCCAATCCTGTCTAGAGGCCCGGTCAGCCCTAGGTTTACCCTAAACCTAGAGAGTGGCACGCTTCTCAAGGCTATAAATACTTAATTAATCCTCATTAATTAAGCAGTCAAGCAATCAAGAAATCAAGAGAAGAACAGAAACATTACGGAACACTAATAACCGGCTAATCTCGCTAACGACGCAGATTACCAACATTAAACACTCTCACCTAGAGAGATCTTATTACTTTAATTTCCGTATTAATTACTCCTTAATCAGGTACTAACTTGACCGTTGGAGGCGGAGCTCTCAGGAGTCTCCGTTATTTTGCAGGTACAGGCGTCCGGTTCCAGTCTCGGAATTGTAACTCTCCCGCAGGACATCAGAAAACCCCGAAACATTTGGCGCCGTCTGTGGGGAGAGTACTTCAGAGATGGCATCCAAGTCTGTACCGACTCCTGAAGAGAGGCGTCCCCTAGACGACCCTCAAGTTCAGTCGGACCATGATACCGAAAGTGAATTTGAAGTGGAAACTCATACAGCTCCAGACGGGACCCTAAGGGCCCGACGTACCCGTCATACCGAAAGGAGGGAACGGGAGCATCTTCAAACAGGAAGCGAGCCAGCAGGCGCACCGCCTGCTCGGCAACAGCCGACTGATGGGTCTGCTCCCATCACAAGGAACGAACTCATGACCTTCATGAGGGACTTCAAGGGAGAGATTCAAGAGTTGATCAACAAAAAGCCGCCTGCTTCAGTCAAAGAGCAGTCGGCCAAAAAACCTTCCACTTCACTGAAGAGGAAGCCAGTTCAAGGGCGAGAGGCGACTCCTCATCCTAAATCCAAGAAGCGGGAGCCACTTGCTCTTGATTTCACAAAATTCCGTTATCCTACGGGAAATAGGAAACCGGTTCGTCATATTCAGGCGGACGGGTCAAAGCAAACGTTCACAGATGCTCGGCTACTGCTAGAGCAGAAGAAGAGTGACCGATTGTCAGAGTCGGCTTCTACTTCAAATTTTCAAGACAGTTTGCAAAATGCCTCGATGAGGCATACTCAGTCGTACCATGAGAGTCAGTCAGGCGACACCTCCC